TTTTTTTTTTTTTTTTTTTTTTTTCTTCAGGGATGATTCTTTTTTTTTTTTTCCATACCCCCCCAAAGACATTTTCCAAACCAGTCCCAGAACTGAACGACCTGTTACAAACCCCCCATCCCACCCCCCCATACTGTGAGTTTTACTGAGCAGATACACGAAGGCGCAGGTAAGACTAGTAAGACAGAATATACTCATCATCTGTACCACAACGCTACGTCTCTAAGGCATGCCATCCTAACTGCGGTGGGATGGGAAGCCGTCTGGCTTCCCCTGCATCCCATCTCGCGTACCTGAGGGAGGGAGGGAGGATCTGAGATGGCTCTCGGACACGCCGCCTGCCTTCCTTCTCCATCTCCTTTGTTTTATTTCCCTGTGTCTTTTCCTCAGTTAAAACCCACTGTCCTTCCTCCCCCTTCAAAGAGGCATCACTCCCCCAGGAGGTTAAAATCCCTCTCTATGTGTGTGTGTGTTTTGGAAGCTGGTTGCTACCATTGCTTTTTCTCCTCCAGCTTGGAGCTAAGAAACATGGGTGACATCTGGCAAGGAGAGGAGGCTGCTGTCTGAAATAACTTCTGTGTTGGGGTGGAGGGGGAGGAGAGACTGAAAAACTGAACGTGTGAGAACAACAGGTGGAGAGGAGTCTAGCTACTGGCTTATGTACGTTGGGTGTCTCATGGATGCGATGTCCCACCATGGGCACCTGCCCAGCGTGTTAGCTAAGGGAGCTCAGTAGGGTGTTGGTGAGCAGCTTGAACTGGCTGAAGACCTCCCTGGAGAAGAGGCGTCCCTGCACTCCAAGTCCCACACGCTCTTGCCACCCTCTCTGCTTTGGCGTCTCTGTATCTCCTCACCCCATGGGATACGTACGCAACCGCCTGGAGATACTAGAGCTGGCGCTGAGGGATTCAGCTGCCAAATTTACAACAGTTCCTGAACAAGCCTCTCCATGCGGAGGGCAATCCCTGGCAAGGAAAGACCTCTTCTGGCCTTTGGGCAAGTCACATCACTCTGTCTCTCTTGCTTTCCCTTCTGGGAAGGGCTGTGCCCTCCTCGAGAAGTTGTTAGCTACTGCTTGTAAAATCCTGCCTGTTGCAAGGAGCCTGTGGCTGTAGGCTACCTTGTTTTGTCCAAAGTTGCTTGCTGTTACAGAGATGCCAGCAGCATCTAGCAGGTCACCAAATTTAGTGCAATGTCTCATCTTTGGAGCTTCCATGAGAGCAGCTTGTGACCCTTCATAGATGTTTAATGGAGAGAAAAAAAAAAGGTAATTTCAGATCTTTCCCTGAAACACCCTGGAGGACTCTCAACCTTCAGGTGTCTCAATGCAACACTGTCCCTTGCTGGAGACCACCAGCTAGTCACAGCGCTGCCCTAGGAAAGCCACAAAGCCAGCATGGGCGATGGTTGTGCTTTGGGAGAGGGTGGTGGTGTGGGCTAGCCTGAGCCCAGTTAGCCCAAATTTGTAGGGAGTGGGCAGATGTCCAGGAGCTACAGGCAGCGGGGCTATACCCAAAGTGATAGAAAGTTAGATGGAGCAAAGGGAGAGGAAAAGGTGAGGAGTAAAGCAGGACTGTACCTTCCTCCTTGTGGCTGTGACCTTTTCCAGGGGCTGTGCTGGGTCCTTGCACCCTAGGGATGCTCAGCAGGACAATGGCCTGGTTCAGCAACCCTCCCCTCTGCAGGACTCAAGTAATTTTCTTTTGCTCCATGTTACCTGCCCTGCTTTTAATGCGAGCATCTCCACTAGGCTCCATCCCTGGCATGTGGAGGGCATGTCACAGGCAGAGGAGCAGGAGCCTGGCATGTCCCAAGGGATGTGCAAAGTAGCCACAGCTGGTTTGGGAGGGGGAAAGTATCATGCATTTAATAAACTCTTCAAGGAGAGGGAGAGGGTAGGAGCGGAGGGAGAAGGGAGAAGTTTACAGACAGAAATGGAGATCTGGAGGCTAGAGGATGGGAATGGACCCAGCCCTCATGAAGCTCAGCCAGGTTTGGGGCAAATTCTCACCAGCTGCTTCTTCCTCCCTTGTTTCTTGGCTTCATAAATGGCAGGTCCCTTTCTAGGTGCTGTGGGCTGCCCCCTCTGACACTGGGTCAGGGTAGAGCATCACCCCAACTCCACTTGCCTAGGGGGTGGCTTGGGGTGGGTTGGGTTCACTTGCAGCCAAGGAAAGGTGAGACGTGGTAATGCTTTGGCAGCGATGCTTGCCAAGGCCTCTGCTCCCCTTCAGAAATGTCCTCTCCATGATTTTTCAGGGCCAGGAGGAGGATTTATTTAGCTGGCTTGTCCTACTGCTGGCCTGAGGAGGTTCACCTGCTGTGGGGCACAGAGCCAGTTGGGTTACAACTGCCTGCTGCCAACCAGAATTCGTTTGGTCATCATGTTGAGAGGTCCAAAGGGCTCGCACTAAAACTATTTAAGAAAAAAAAGTCCACCTAGATTTATTGAGCTTAAGTACTGTAAGATGATGCAGAAGAGGAAGCCCCTGCTCTGAGCATGCTGGGAGGACGGACCGCGGGGACCATTTCCCAGTGACATGCTGGGAGGAAGGTGCCAGAGCTGCTTCCCCTTGAGCGCACCGAGCACGTTGCTCTTTTACCGGTCCCCCCTCCCTCCCCACATACGAGGGGGAGGGTGGTTTCCCAAAAAAAGAGACCAAACCATTCCCCTCGGGGCTGTGCTGCAGTTCCCTGGACATTGCTGCATGATAGAGCATTGGCGCCGGGCGTGAGAGGCAGACACGGGCAGGAGGCCATGGGGTGGGGAGAGAGATGGAGACACAGACTGAGAGAGAGAGAAAAGAGTGATGGAGAGCTGTAGGCAGGCGGGACACGAGGGCTGTCTCGCTGCAAGACCTCTGGCACTTAGCCGGAGGCATTGATGTAGAGCTGGCTCTTGAGGATGTAGTCGATGACGGGCTGGCAGAGGTAATCCACGACGTGTCCATCCCCGTGCTGCAGGGCCAGTCTGGGGGTGCAGGGGGAGAGAAAGGGGTCAGAGCCTACTTGGGTGGGTCAGGTGCCCCCACAAATAGAGGTGCTGGCTGGGGGCACCCCTATCCCCACCCTGTAGCAGGAGTCCCCCTGCACTACCCACCTGCTTTTGGTGGAGCTGACAACCGACATGGGGTGGTTTGAGTCGTCCTTCACCACCAGGATGTTGTTCTGCAGGGGAAGGAGAAGAGAGGAGTGAAGGGATGGCCTGAAAGCGGGTGTCTGCCCTGCCAGCCCTGCTGGCCTCAGGGGGCTGCTGCATGGTGGCCCCATTGCTCATCCCACCTAGCAGCTGAGAGCATCTGGCCTTGAGACGTTTTGTGCCCTGTGGCAGAAATGCTCCCCTGGATAAAGAGAGGCTGCAGGTCCTCTCGCAGCCTTCCCCAGCCACACGTGCATCTGCTTACTTTGTACTTGCGGAGTATGGAGGAGTGGTTCATGATCCGGTCGGGGTCTGCTCCATCCCGGGGCACCACCACGATCCCGAACTCCCCGACGATCACCTCCATCTAAGAGCAACCCAAAGTGGGGAGAGCTTTATAACCACTCCATGCAAAACCTGCCACTGTCTGCCAACCCCCCTGCACCATGAAAGCTGGGCCATGGTCTGGATGGAGATAGAAAGTGAATTTGAGTCTATCTCAACAGCCTTTGGCAGAAACTTGGAATTATCAGGGTGTGGTGAGTGGTCTGCAGTGGATGAAATAAAAAGGCACGGGGTTAAATCCTATTACTAGACATTGAGGTTAGGCTTTAGGGAGGACTTGTGGTAGAAGAAGGATGGCAGCAGAAGAGGTTGCCCGAGGAGGATGTGACCTCTGCCACGCTGGAAGGCTTTATGAGCAGGATGGACGTGTTGGTCTGGACAGAGGTCTGTAGGGTTGTTCTTCCAAGGTTGTTTGCACCAAGGCTGGTGGCCAAGTTTGCCACTACGTGGGGACGGCTCCCACTGCTCACCACCCATCTTGGGTGAGACAAACCAGGCTCATCTGAAGGAGCTCTGGGTCAGCAAATTCAGGCAGCAGGAGCCTGTGAGGTGGTGCTGGTGCAGAATGTCTCCTCTGACTGTGCTTTGACATCCAATTTTTGCATCCTTTGGGCTGGGCTTCAAGACTTGCCTCATCTCATGTTTTGCAGCCTTTCAGAGGAGATAGCTGCTAGCTAATTGTTTTAAAAAACTTAGGATTGAAGATGTGGTAATTGATTTTAGAAATGGTTGAGGGGCTTAAGGAGGGGAGGAGTTGTGTTGACCACCTGATTTCAGCGAAGAGCCAGGTGAGCTCCCATAGCCAGCACAGCTCTGACTGCTGGGAGCAGCATGGGGGTTGATAACCCAGTCCCTCTGTCTAGGGCTGGTGTCCTCCCATGAAAATATGGCTTCTTCAGGCAGGGACCGCAGTGTCCAGGGTGCCGGGTGTCCTGCTGCAGTCCTTCACTAATTGGGGGGCAGGCACAGAGAGGCGAGCAGCGGATTTCGTCCATTTGAGTTGTGGCAGTGAAGGTCCTGAGACGGGCTCACGTCAGCTGTGAGTTGATGTTAGGCATCATCTGGCTGAGGATGAGGAGTCAAGCTGGTTTTACTTCTCGGTCTTTGTAAAGATGGGTACTTGGGTACCCCACATTGCAGGAAAAGCCTTTTATTAAGTGAAAGCTGTTGATTTGGCTCTAAATGTGTTTAATTTCTAATGTCTGGCCAACTTTTGTAAATACCTTATTTCCTACCTCCACACCTCACTCTGCTGGGACTGGTTTCTACTTGATGCTGGCTCCTTCCAAGGGACGAGGAGTGGGATTGCAGCCTTTGGAAATCCCTTGGGATAGGCTTACCCTACACCCCGGGTGACATCCTCTGCATGAACAGTGAGTGGGAGCAGGGCTTGGGTCTGCGGAAGGGGAGGCTGGGTAGGGCTGGTGATTCAGGAGCAGAAGACCCTGTCCCTCAGGCTGCCCATGTGTAGGGGAGGTGAGGGTCAGGGTTGGATGGTGAGCACAGCTCCTGCCATCCCAAGGGACCTGAGCGGCTCCCAGGAGCACTGGGCGTGGGAAGCAGAGGAGGAGGAAGGGAGCCTGGGGAAGAGGAGCATGGAGGGGTGCCTAGCGGTGGTGACTCACATCTGCCTCGTTCCAGAGACCAGGGATGCAGAAGGACCCCAGCAGGTCACTGCCACAGAGCAGTAAGATGCGAAGCTCTGAAGAAAAGAAGCAGAGAAGCTCCGAGGTTGGAGCAAACAGGGCTGAGCAGCCACACCTTGCACTGCTCGGAGAGATCCTCTTCTGCCAGACCTCCCCTGCCAAAACAAGTCCCACTAAAGATCCCGTGGTCTTTCTTGCATCCCTACTGGTGCCAAACATTAAATAACCCCCACTCTACTTTATTTCAGCTCCTTTCCCATGCTGCTGGGTTGTTGTCAGCATTGCTACATGCTGTTCAACTATGGCTGTGCTCCAGCCCTGGAGGTGGGGTATCCCGGGGAAGGGATTCATTTCTCCATGTTACGGGCACCCACAATCGCTTCATGATCTGCTGCAGGGGCTCCAGCCACGGGGCAATGGGGATAGCCCAGGGGACTGCTCAGAGCCCTGGACATGGCCACGTTTGCTTTAGCAAAGCTGATCATGAAGCACCGGAGGTTTTCCTTGCACACCTTGGAGGACTTCCATGTCCTCCCTTTCTCTCCCCAGGCTGGGACTGGTGCTTGCTGACAGCTTGCTTTGAGGGTTGGCTTTGCTGCTCAGTAGGTGCAGCAAGAAAGTTGTGCTGTGGGAAGGAGTTTTCTGCTCCAACGGGCCTGTAAGAATTAATTTATTTGCACAAATACTGGAAGAAAGCCATAAACCTGCCCGGAGGGGTGGGAAGAGGTGACTGCATGGGAAGGTGCCTCACTGGTTGGCATTTCCAGGTGGCCAAAGCCTTTGGGCTCTGCATGGTACCGGTGCTAGGAGGGGTGTGTGAGCTAGCCCATGAAATGGGTCTCAAACACCAGCAAGCTGTTATTGGGCCACACTCCCCATGCAGAGCCCTGGGTGATGTATGGCGGTGCCAAGTGCATGACGGCCTGGTGGGTCTAAAATCCCTAAATGGCTTTAGAGAAAGGAGCACCATGGCTGCTCGGGCGACTGAAACCCCTCCCGCTGCTGAGTGCGAAGCTCATCAGGGCCACGGGCAACGCGAGGATGTGGGTGACACCACTGCTGGAGGGCAGGTTTCATGGTGCTTGGGGTGACTTTCAAGGCACGATGCCACAGTGGATCCATGCCAGTGCTGGGAGCTGGGTCTCAGCTGCTTGTTCCCTCATTTTAGGCTGCTTGTCTGCCCACAGGAATGGACTCAGGCCAGTTTAGCACTGCTCCTGTTTTACCCCTGAGCCCCGATATACAGCACTGGGACAGGATGATGGTCTGGCATCCTTTGCTTGCCAGCAGATCTGTCATGCAGCCACTCCCGAGCTGCGTAGTGCTGGCCCAGAGGAGCCAGAGCGATGCAGAGGGGGCTGCGTACTCACCGATCTCCTCGTATCTCATCACCGTCCCCAAGTTGGCATTCTCATCTGGGGAAGGGAAGCAAAAGAGAGCTGCTGGTGCCCGGCCTGGGAGGAAGGCTGGGGGCTGGTGCCAAAGCCGAGGCGATGCTGGGGCTTTCCTCTACCTACCCACAAAGGTGAAGCGCTCCATGGGTGGGCGAACGCAGCAAATCCGGCTCAGGCTTTCTCCCACCTTCCCCAGGATCTTTGCTAAAGGCAAAGAAGAAAAATTCACCAGAGAGACAATGATGTCCTGGCAGACTGACCCCCACAAATGCTTCGGCCACCCTGATCCTGCGAGATACTCCTGTGCCCAGGAGTGGGAACTGCTCTCAGCATCTCCCCACCACCGCCTCTTGCGGTCTCAACTCCTGAGAGCACTATGCTGTGCCTTGAAGAGACCATCTGGACAGCTAAAATCACTAAAAAAAAATTACAAGTTCATTTTTATGGGATTTAAGTAATTCCCCCTCTTCTGCCCAGCTAATACCTCTGTGTCCCATATCCTGCCGGCTTGTGGGGGATCCAGCCATGTCACCTCTCCTGCCAGCTTGTCCCTTGCACATACCCCATGGGTACCAGGTAGCCTTTCTCTTAACTGCTCTCACTGCCTGAACATCATCCAGCTAAAGACCGGTGAGATTTCACAGCCATTTTAAGCCGTTCTTGGCTCCCCTTGCTGTGCTGGATGCTAACTCTTCCATTGCATCCCCATCTGACCCTGGGCTCGGTGCATGGAGCCTGATGAATGACCTGGCCCAAAAATAAGACGACGGAGCACCGTTCCTAACACTTGGCAGCCTTGGATGGGAGGTGAGGGGTGGGTGGTCATCCCCTTCTTCCCTACCCCGCTGCCACCTACCTGCGGTGGGCTTGTTGGAGACATTGTTGTTGTTCTGGTAGATGGTTTGTGAGGACTCATTCTGGGGCTGGCCAATCACGGGGGTGATGGAGGGGGTGTTGACGTTGGAGAGGATGCAGCCAGTCACTCTCTGCAATGAGGGAGAGACGTAGCTGGAACAGTGGCTTCACCCCACTTGCCTCCCAAAACCTTTATGACCCCTGTATCGAGCCTCCGCACCCCAGGCTGAAGGTCATCTTCAGTGACAGGTACATCCAGGCTCGCTTTAGGACCCCGAGTCCCATCTGACTTCACTGGATGGGCCTGGGGCTAGCAGGATGCTGTAGATAACAACTTGTGATTAAAGCTGGGGACAGTGGGATTAACTTTTTGTGTGAACCCATGAGGCTGGCAAGGCTGCAGCTGTGCTGCCTGCGGGCAGGCATCGCCCCCGTTGCCTGAAGGTGCTCATAAATTCTGATGAATAAATAAAAATACAGGAGCTGAGTCGTCAGTGGTGCAAAGCCAATGGCTTACATGTTACCCTGGGAGCAAATGGGCCCTTGTCTCTTCCACCGGTCCCTGCAGGAAAAGGAAGGCGTGTCCAGGGGCTCCCTGGCTTTGACACTATGGTCCCTGGAGGCACTGGACATCCTGCTGGGCTGGTGAATGCTACTTCTGTGCCTCCTTTTTGGGCTGCTCGTGAGTATGTATGATGTTATTTTATTGGTTTCCTATCCTCCGTTTGCTTGCTATATCCATGTGTTGGCAGCAGCCCTTCCCTCCCTGTCCCTGCAGTCACCCGAGGGCAGTTGCCTTCCTTCTTGGCTCACAGGCCTGCCTGGACTTTGGAGGGACTTTTTCTCCTGGGTTTTGTGCTCCCTGGGGACTTCCCAGCTGCTGAACTTTCCTGCCTTGCTGAGTCGCTCCGGTGGGTTCATACAGCAGTTTCGGCTTAGCTGGTGAGCGGAGACACCTGTCCACCTCCCCTTCCCCTTGGGATGGAGCAAGTGGTTGGCATTAATGATTTAGCTTGTGCCCACCCCATCTTCACTCTGCCATCACCCCTGTTCCCCTCCTGGTGTGCACAGGACTGGGGCAGCTGCTGGCTCCAGCTGGAGGGCTCAATTTGCTTTCACCATCAGGGAAAGGAGCTCAAAGCAGCTGTGACAAGGTATCTTGTGCCTCTTCCAGGTCAGAATGTCAGGCACGTTACTGCAAGATTTCTGTCCGTCTGTCCCAGTCATATTTTGGTGTTTGATGTTCATGTGCTGGTGCAAAAGCACCCCTGCTCCCACACTCTCCCCGCATCCCCACCCAGGGCTGCCCTACCTTCATCAGGTCACGGTGGTGCTCCAGCACACTGCAGGTGGTCTGCCAGGTGTCCTGGTAGCACTCCCAGGGGTCCACCCTGCAGGGAGCACAGCAAGGCAATAGTGTTAGCTGGTGGCCACTACCTGGATCTCCTGACCATGCTACTTCCTCCCCACTGGGCTGGCCAGCAGCGCCGGGAACAGCCACCATTGCTGCCCCAGCTCTGCCATGGACCATGTCCTTCTTCCAGCCCTTCCACCCAGCTCTCCCTAATAGCTTTGGGGACCTGAACGTGTGCTCAGACAACTTTCCACTCTTGGTACCCAACTAACCAGCTTTTATTTGGCTTGGATGTAACTACACGTGTTACAACCCTGCTTCCTGAGGGCAGCCCAGAGATGTTTCTGGTCCCACCTCAGCTGCCAGACGCCACATGGCAAGGCTGGGAAGGAGAGAGTCCGCGGGCTGGTGCTGCAAGTGTAGAAAGGGAAGGTGCCACGGTACAGGGCTGGGGTGGGCTGGGGGAACACGGGCTTCACCCGGCCACCACAGGCTCAGCAGGAGGCTTGCAAGACCCCCTGAAGCCAAAGGACATCTTGAAGGATGGTGTAACACCCCTCATCAGTTCTCTGCTGGACTAGGAGAGGAAGGCCTCCAGTTTTTAATCGAGCTTTGGCTGGGAGAGGAGAAAGTCCATCCTGGAGCTCCAGCAGCTGGTGGCATCTCTGCTTTGCATGTGGGTCTTTGCCACCACGGTGCCGGGGAAGGGGCAGGGGCTGCCAGGGGCTGCTAGTACTGCGGCAGGTGCGGGCTCTGACACTCACCTTATCCAGTCAGAGGACTGGACGGCCAGTTGACACATGGTCAGGCGGTGCCGGCTTGAGACCAGACCCTGCAAAAGAGGAACGGTTACAGGAGGCAAGCATCATGCCCTGGCCAGCCTGGGCTTGCAAACCTTCCCAGGGCAGAGCATCGGGCTCGCTCAGATGAGACAGGCCAGAAGGATTTGTTCCTGGCCACAAAAAGTTATCTAAGCTCCTGTTTGCTGGAGGAGAAGGAGTCCCTGCCTTGCTTCAGCCCTGGTTACAAACAGGTCAAGATTTGCTTGGTGCCGCTACTCTCAGCCCCGTGCTGCTGCAGGGCCAGACCCAGGGATGGTGGTTTCTTGATGAAATTTCTCCAGCTTTCAGGAGAGAAGGAAACTCTTTCCTCTCCTAATTTGGATTTCCCCCCACCCCAGAAAGTGCTTTTAAAGGTCCCTGTTTGCATCGTCACCATCCCTACAATAAAATTAGCTTTGAAATCATTCAAACAAACAAAAAACCCCAACTCAACAAGATGACCACCATCATTTTCGGTGAGAACGTTTCTCTTTGCTGCCTAGTACTTTAGCTGGTTGTAGGGTCTCGCTGCAGCTTTTAGGTAAAGAGCGAGTGGTTTCATCCTCTCCCTCCTCTCGGGGACTTTCCCACGGTCAGGGGCTGCCCCAGGTGAAGGAGGTCCATGAGAGGACCATGAATGCAGGCAGCACTGCCCAGTGCTTGCCCCTGGCTTGAGACACCATCTGACATAGGACGCAGAAAGGGAAAATGGGGATGACCCACCGTCTTCCCATAGGAGTCGTGCACGGGCGAGACAATGCCACCAATGACGATGAAGCGTCCAGTCTTGTGCAGGTAATCCCGGGCTCGCTCTGAAGGAGGAGGACAAGGAAAAGGGTGCAGGGGGAATTCAGCTGGACCCACCAACCATGCAACGCCCCGCTGCCACCCACTGCCTTTGCCCAGTGCCTGTGGAGTGGCTCATCCCGGCTTGAGCAGCGCCAGGTGGGGAAGGTGACCAAGGGAAGGGCTGGGTTCATCTTTACTGCCCGTCTCATTTGGTGCCATCCTTGGTGATGCTGGGCATGAACCTTCCCGGGGACCTCCAAACCTTGTGGGAGGGAGGATTTGGTGGAAGAGGGCAGGTCTTTAGCAAAAGCTAAATCACATTCAGACCCCAAATCACCTTCAACCACCTCGCCGGGGCACCAGAGAGGCAGCCAAGAGCCTGCACCACCAACGAGAGCCACTTTGCAGAGACGGGCTCTTTTGGCAGCCCTGGAGGAGCCACACCGAGTTCATGAGGTGATGCATGAAGCTGATTCATTCACTGCCTGAAGACAAATCCTTTCCTTTCTATTTTTCTCTGCCCGTAAACTACGTCCACCCTTTCTCTCCCCATGACTTCTCCCTTGCTCGCCTGCTGCAGTTTGCTGCTGACTACCAGCCAAAGGCTTTCTTAGCAGCTGGAAGGTGACCGACGGCTGTCCTAACCTTAGGCATCACTTCTGACAAGGACCCCTTAGATGTGGACAAGATTAAAAAAACAGGATAATAACAAAACCTGCTGCCTCCGCCACTGCTGGGCTGCAGGGACAACCCCATAGTTTTATGAGCAAAAACCTCTTTGCCGGCTCATGCGTTAGTGGCTGGCCGTAACTCCCTGCAGGAGGATATCAATACAGACTGGGGGATGGGTGGATTGAGAGCAGCCCTGCCAAGAAGGGGATGCTGGTGGGTGACAAAGTGGACATGAGCTGGCAATGTGCGCTTGCAGCCCAGAAAGCCAATAGCGTCCTGGGTGCATCACCAGCAGCGTGGCCAGCAGGTCAAGGGAGGTGATTCTGCCCCTCTACTCTGCTCTGGTGAGACCTCACCTGGAGTACTGCGTCCAGCTCTGGGGTCCCCAGTATAAGACAGACATAGACCTGTTAGAGCAGGTCCAGAGGAGACCATGGAAATGGTCAGAGGGCTGGAACACCTCTGCTATGCAAAAAGGTTGAGAGAGTTGGGGTTGTTCAGCCTGGAGAAGGCTCCGGGGAGACCTTATCGCAGCCCTTCAATATATAAAGTTGGCTTATAAGAAAAATGGAGACTTTATACCAGGGCCTGTAGTGACAGGACAAGGGGCAATAGTTTTAAACTAAAAGAGGGTAGATCTAGGGTAAATATAAGGAAGACTTTTTTTACAATGAGGTTGGTGGGACGCTGGCATAGGTTGCCCAGAGAAGTTGTGGATGCCCCACCATCGGAAGTGTTGAAGGTCAGGTTGGATGGGGCTTTGAGCAACCTGATCTAGTGGAAGATGTCCCTGCCCATGGCAGGGGTGTGGGACTAGATGATCTTTGGAGGTCCCTCCCAACCCAAACCATTCTGTGAGTCTGTGATTCTAAGATGTGCTGTTGGTTGACAGCCTAAATAAGAATTGTCATCACACATGGAACTGCATGCACAGGTACTTAGCATGGATGAATCCCTGCCATCCCCACCACAAGACCCACACCTCACATGCTGCTGTTTTGGAAATGCTGAAGGGTTCACCAAGAGGAGCACCACACCAGGACCAAGATGCTCATTCCCATCTGCTCCTCTCTGCTGGAAAGCACGGGGATGCTGCTGGTGAGCTCACCACCACCCTGCTTGCTCCCTGCTTGCTCCAACCTAGCTTGTATCCTGCTTGCTCACGCCCTGCTTGTTCCCTGGTGGTTCCAACTCACAGACAGCAGCTGCTGGGAGCTGCTGCTGCAGGACGAAGCCTTGGCAGAGGAGAGGAAATATTGGTCTGAGAGCACGTCATCGCAACAGGACAGGGGAGATCCCTTCCTGCACGCACTGGGGAATGGGGGGCTCAAATGCCCTGCTTATGGGCTCCTGGGCTCTACCCCATGTGGTCTCGGACAGACAAATAGAGCCGTCCTGTCAGGGAATGGCAGCTCCACTGCAAGAGCAATGGCAGGACTGGTCACGGCATGGTCCTTGCCATGGCTGCTGGCTGATCCCCAAGGTCTCACCTGCTTTTGGGCACTTCTCTCCCCACCATTTTTCCCTTCTCTCCTTGGGCTGGTCCTGATGCAGCCACCCATCCTGCTTCCCTCCCTGCCTGCAGGCAGGGCTGCCCTGGGGTTTGGGCAATGGTGATTATGTTCTCCCCTTCTAGAAACCTCTTTGCTGGTGCCTCATAGGATTGCACCCATCTTCATCACGGCTCTGCCGCAGTGATGCTGTTATTTGCTGATGCACCTGGCTCCCTCACCTTCAGCCCTTTCTCCCTCAAATTCTCACTGCTCCCCCTGACACATGCTATTAAATGTCAGCCGCATCGTCCCTGGGGCTTTTCCCAGGTCCCCTTCCTGTGGCACCCACCACCCACACCCCACCTGGTCCATCAGCAGCTGCATAGCTCTTACACTGCTCCCTCCCTGTGTCAACACCACATGTTGCCCATGTCCCACAACGCCAAGAGGCTTGCCAGAGTCCCTCCAGCCTAAGGCACAGTCTTGGGCTGGTATTTCCAAAAGGTGACATTTGAGGATAAAAATGCTGGCGAAGAGTTACTAAACTCCAGTGGGCTCCTATGCCACGTCCGACCGACCTCCCCCTGCCCCAAAGCACTTACATTCTTGCCTCGATGCTTCTCTGAAGGTGCTCTCTGGAGCATCTGCTGGAGCTGGAAAGTCCCATCTTTTCATGCCGCAGCAGCAATACCTCCTGCCCCCCAAGCTTTTGCAGCTGTATAACTCACCCCCTTTACTCGAGCTCTCCCACTGGGTGCATTGCAACCACCTTGTCCCCCAGGCACACCGCGCCTGTGCATGAACCACAGCACCGCGATGGGGTTGCAGCCCAGGAGAAAGAGAGGAGGAAGAGGGTGGGAGGTGCGAGCATAGGGCAGGTCAGTGGTGGTGGTGGTGGCCACAGCTGCACTGGCCCTGCCTCCTCTGCTGAGCGTGGGGAGGGTGGCTGGGGAGTGCACAGTGCAGGACTGCCCGCCCCAGCTATTGAGACAGTAGAAAGAAAAAAGATAGAAAAGGTAAAAGCAAAGAGGGAGACAAGATTGATGAGTCATTAGAAAGCACTTTTTTTTTTTTTTTGCAAGTGGAGAATCTAGAAAATATTTTGCCTTTGCAAAGAAAACGAGCATTTCTGAAGCTACAGTGACTTTGGGATCCGTCAGCTATCCCGAGATGTCACTGTGCATCGTATCCTACAGACACCCTGCTCCAGTGTTTCCCCAGGGGGCAGGGAGCAGCCCTGCCTGAAGGGCTGGTGCCCTCCCATGCGGCAGCAGTGGGGAGACACTTGCAGGGAGCCTTCCTCCCCCCCGCCACCTGCACCCAGCCCCAGCTGGCACCCACTAAAGCTGATGCAAAGCTCTCCAGCCTGCGTAGGACGGCTTCTGCTTCCCTCGGTGGTATAGCTGCATTATTCCTTGGAAATAAGAAGCAAAGCTAGCTCCTGCCGTCTGGGGAGATGTTTCCCCATCCCGGCCGCTCAATGTGGCATCAGCTGTCGGGGCAGTGGACCCACCCTACAAACCCATCTTTGCCAAAGCAGCCACATTCCCATTTCCCCTCCAAAAGAAACTTTCCCAAAGAGAAATAGGAAAAAAGAAGGGAAGGAGAACAGTCAGTGTTTGCCAGATGCAAGCAAAGTTGTGATGGGTGCAAAGAGGAACACAAGCGGACAGGGGATCCTGATGCATCTTCTGGAGCTGCTGTGCTGAACTGGGGTTCCTGGGATTTTAGTGGCAACAGAAACACCTCATTGTCCTGCTGCTCGTTGAAAATTAGCCATGGGCTTGTTCATACCTGCCAGCACCATGAGAGTAACACCAGTTGGGTTCAAGCATATGGGAGTGGTGGCTGGGCCACAGCTTGGCACGACAGACAGGTAAGAGCACAGCTTGGTGGGTCCAGACGTGGGGAAGGGGGTTTTCCATGGGTACATCAATGGGTACATTTTTCTTGCATGTTTCCCAGTCAAATGATCCTCTCTGGGTGGTGTGGATGGGGTTGTGCTGTTTAGGAAAGGACCATTCTCCTGGTGGTGCATCTCTTCAGCTCCTGTGCCCTCGCTCCTGCTCTGCTTCAGGGCAAAAATTCAGCTCTAAAATTATTTTAGAGCTCCCTTGCAATGGCTTGGGACGGATGAGGAGCACTTGTATGTCAAGGGAGGCGAGAGGGGCTGAGCAGGGCAGGGAGGTAGGGATGTTGCTGAATAACCGCTTGGGCGAAATGATTTTTTTCCCTCCAAATTTTGAAATTTCTACTAGGGAATATTGTTCAGCTATCAGGTCAGTTAAAAGTCAGTTAAGGAACTATAATTGCCATGGACTTTTGCCCCCTGCACCCCAGAGCGCTGAGCAGCCCCAGCCCTCTGTGGCAGCCTGTGGGAGATTTGCCAGCCTCCATAAAACCTCTTCCTCAGACTCACCCGAAATCCTTTCCCTGGCTTCCTTCCCAGCTCTTGTGCCCTGGGCACACCAGCCCCCAGAGAGAGAAAAACGGGCTTAAATCATTCGATCGGTGCAGGGAGTAAAATTCAATTGCCTGAATTAGATGTACCAAAAGTTTCCCTCCCTGCCCTCAAAATCCTGAGCTTGAAGGGGTTAACACTGGCAGTTTGGTTTGAACCATATTTTTTCATCTTCGCTGGTTATTTATCCGCTGGGAACTGTGTGGGATCATCTCCACCTGCCAGTGGGTTTCACCGGGGTGGCGAGGGGACCGAACCCAGCCCTGTGTGTAACTATGGCTATCTGTGTTCCCAGTGGTACTTGGTGAAGCACCCTATGGGGGAGCACACACAGAAAAATACAATATTCTTGGGGTTTTTTTTGCATGGGCAAGGGGATTTGAAGTTGAACCAGCATCACAAATTAAAGCACAAAACTCCATGGGTGGTGGGATTCCCTTTGCAGCCTGCCAGATAGCCCTCCATAACCACTTGCCCAGAAAGCCAAATGTGCAAAAAAATCCTCTTTCTTCTCCATTCTGCATTTTAAAAAGAGGAATCAGGGGGTTCCAGCAGCACTTCTCCCTCTCCAATGCTCTGTGTTCGCCTTTATT